ACTGGGTGAAATGAGGCACTGTCAAGATTTGACCCTTTGACTGCTAAGTGACTAGCACCTCCTTACAATATTACCCAGTCATCAAACATTAAGGTGACAAAATTAAAGGAAATGATCACCAACTAGAGAACCCCTTGATTGTTGGACAAATTCTCCATGTAAGCACCATAGGAAATGTAACAAGAACAGTGCAAAGAATATGAATATCAATGTTCAGGTGTAAAGGGTTAAGTGAAGTGGGCAACAAAAGTGATCTAGCAATGGCTTGAACCCGGCTTGTTTGACCCTCTAACCAGGAATCCATAGCTTCTCCATACAGAACATGATTAAATTTGTATATCGATAATTGCAAAATATGCAAGTTCCACCCATCATAATTTTTTTAATGTATTTCTTACCAGTACCGCAGGACTGTTCCCAAAGCACAGAACTTCACTTCTTGTTTTTCATGCCAGTCACACCTGAAAATTTTTTTAAAACCAGTAAACTAATAAAAGTAATAAACACTGAATTGTAATGTAAGCCTCAGATGCAAGCTGTCTGAGCACATGATAATTTAAATTTCCCAGATGTGGGAAAAGTACAGGTTTGCCCGGTTCAGTTCTACAAGCCTGGTAATTTAGTTATATCAACTAAGTTGAAATTGTAAATTGGCCACCATAACGAATAAACAAGCTGATGTTTTGAGTGTTAGCTCTTCGTCGTTTGTTTCTTTGTTGTCTTGATTGAGGGAAGAACCATCTCTGGCTGAAAATAGTGGAAATACCTGGCTAGTAAGAGTTTTAAACCAAATTATGTTTGATTCGAAAAATTTTAGCTCTAAATAATTTAGTGAAGGCCTCTGGATTGTACATCATTTTGTGCACAACACCTGGATTAGCCAATTACACTCCTAGCATAAAGATTTACATTTTTTCTTTTTTTGGTCTGGGCAAAGGATAAAGGCTTTAAAAAAAGAAAAAAGAAGAAAAAAGAAACAAGGGCATGAAAAAAGAAGATACTGTATGTTCCTAAATATATTAAAAATTGAGTTCACGATTCAGATTTTGTTGGAGGGGTCTGGAGGAAGTATGATGGAATTAGAAGAAAAAAGGAAGGAAAACAAAACAAGTGCAGGACTAAGTGACTAAAAAAAATGTACCTTGAATTAGGTTCATAATCAAAAATAGTACTGGAGAGAAGCTCTGTTGCCTTTGACTTGGAAATCCCCATGGTACTACCAGATTCAGCTGTGAAATGTGAGTGTAAGTCACACACCAGTCCTTCTAAATCATACACTTTCTTCAATTTGTTTGGCATTTCTGAAGTAAAACAGGAAAACTCAGTCTAGTAATCTGTAAGTTTTTCACTAGGTTGGTAAAGACTGTAAGGGAGGAGGCTACAAAAAATATACATGTACTTTGATCACAGTGAAACTGAGTCAAGCAAATCCTTGATTCTAGGGGGCAGTTTCTCAAAGGTCCTGGTTCTTTATCAGGCCTCTACTCTGCTGAGGAAATATGGAATTTTCCATTCAAATATTTTCTTTGTTTCATGTTGTCTAACCTGCTTTTGTAGCCAACCACTGAAGGCAATACTCAGTTTGTTTTGTTTCTGATATCTGAAAAGGGAGAGATTTAAATCACTTATTGTTACCTCTTACTAAAAATCACAATAATATTAACCATTATTCTGTTGTCTACTTTAAACATCACTCTTGCAAAGCTCCCCAAATATTGCATCCAAGAACAATACATACATCATGTTTAAAAGAAATTCAATAGTGCACACGGTGAAGGCCATTACAAGTGGTCAGAGCTTAACTAGCTAG